GTATTCTGGATTATGCCTATATTTGGGCTGCTCAGGGGCTTAGGGCACACATACACACACACAAACCCACATACACTCAGAAGTAACCAGGAGGAGGATTTTATGACTTAATACAATAGATTACTCTAAATCAAGAAAAACAATATATAATGGTGATGTCTTTTATGGGCCTTGGTGTATTTGCCCTCAGGAATTTCCAGTAACAACCATTCATCTGTTTTTAAAAAATGTTAAAGCAATTATGTACACAGGTGTTTTGAACATCCAGTTCCCCATTACAGAATCTTCTTTGACATATTTAAAAAGCTAAAAATAATTTTATGTAGTATGTTGATTCAATGTCCTAATGTAATTACCACATAAGAAAATAAATGAGCAATCCACAAATTGCTTATTTTACCAGCATAAGATGGTCAGCAGAATTCGTAGAGGCAATCTAATTGATTGATTTGGAATCTACATCATATAGGTTTATGTACCGTTATTGTTTACTGTTTTCAAGAATGCCGACCTTAAAATTTTATTCAATCTATTTCAACAGAGCAAATCTTCATTAGATTGGCTTTAAAACTTCTTATGAAAGTTTAATGATTAAAATGATTAATGCTCAACAATCTACTGTATATAATTTGATTTGCAGAAGAATTGCAGACAGTAGAAAGAAAAAAAAATCAACATTTAAGTTCATCTGGTTAAATATACGGTTGCAACATAATTTCTCCTATGGAGAATAAAAATGGTTGGAGAAATATACTCCGTCTTTTCCCCAAACTTCCTCTTCAATTACAGGACTCCCTAGATCTTTCCTAGTTGAAAAATACAGTATAGAAGCTGATAGTCACACATCCTAGGAATGTAAAATTATACATATTTTTAAGGGCATTTTCATCTTCAGCATTGTTGTTTATTCTTTGGCTGGAGTTGTCACTGAAATCTAAGCTTACCACATTTAGCTTTGTAATCTTAAAATAAATAAGAAAGAAAAAAGGGGAAAAAACTTCGTTTCTCTGAATGTTCGAGGATGAACAAAATTGCAATTGTTTTTCAGTCAGAAAGAAGGCTGGGTGTGTGCACAGCAGAGTCTAAAATAGGCTTTGCAAAGCAGACAGTTTTGCTCAGGTAGGAGAGTCCTAAGTCCCTTCACCATCTCCCAAACATTGGTTCCACAATTATCTATGCCACCAGATTTTTCTGGCCACTCAGTTCTTTTCTTCTCACTAAATGAAAAGTGGGAAAAGCCTGCTCGTGTGGAGATTAAAAAAATAATCATTAAAAACAAAACAAAACCCTAACAGCCTATTGTGTTCACCTGGTAGTGTTGAGTGGCATGGGCACTGATGAAATAATTATAAAGGATTTGAATCAGTTTGAAAATCAGATGGGGCTAGCCATCCATATGACAATTATATTTTGTGGGGATATCTAAAGAAATCTCATTAAATTTTGTCTTTCAAGTAATAATTTAGGAAATTTTTGTTTTCTGGGAAGCACCAGAGAAACTGTTTTCCCCCCACACAGAGAGAATTAAGATGGAAATAAATATTCTTAGGAAGTCAATTTTGGGCATATGTCTGGAAATTTCACTCCCTTCCATCTTAGAGAAAAATGCAACACAACCACACAGTTTACTCTCTGGTGTGCTCCAGAGAGTACCCCAAGTGCTTGGGGCCAGCTGGGTGTGGAACGAGGGAGAATGGTGCTGGGGCACATGCTGACACCCTCATATACAAGTAAAGCTTGGGTGCCTGGGTGGCTCAATTTGTTAAATGTCTGCCTTCATCTCAGGCCATGATCTCCAGATCCTGGGATGGAGCCCTGCATCAGGCTATCTGCTCAGCGGAAAGTTTGCTTCTCTGTCTCCCTCTGCTCCTCCCTACTGCTTGTTCTCTCTTTTTCAAATATATTAAAAAAAAAAGAAAAAAAAAAAAGAAAAAAAAAAAGAACAGTGAGTTTTGATGGATAGACTTCTTCTTCTGGAGAGTTGACTTTGATTACATAGGAAATTGGAGGAGATCATAAATATGAGTGTTTTTTTCTATCAACCTGTTTTCATCTTACTTCCCTGGAAAAGATCCCTCAGTGTGAATGTGGCTAGAACACAGTGGCTATAATACTTGTGTTTTCTAGAAAGAAAACCATCAAATGTGGTGGTGGGTATGGTTCTTCAGATGAAACCAGATGGCATGTTCAACTGAAGGTAACATCACCATTACAAATACACAAATCCTAGGTAGCAGGAAACTAGTCTGATCAATGATTCTGGCTAAAGCTAAATCAATCCTCTTCTTGGAATACATGTGGTTGGCACATTTCATTTTGGATAGAAATGCCTATAGGAAAAGTCAGACTTTTCTATCAGAAGCTAGGTATTTTAAGCCATTCCTAAAAGGTTCTCGCTCCTAAGTTACTGAGAATACCAGAAAGAATAAGATGTTAATTGATTCGTTGGATAAAATCCATAACTATTCCTAAAGTCTGTTATAATATTGTGATTTGGGGGAAAATGGAATGGAAATATCTATGACCATAGTAGGACTGAGTTGGGCATATCTCACAGTCAGTAAGTGCATGTGCGTGCACACACACACACCTGCACACACACGCAGGGCCTCTGTCTACCTGCCTCCAATTGACAGACAAATCAATTTAGCCATATCAGTAACACAACTCTTCAGGACACCTGGATTTTCAGTTTTGATCAAGTTGAGAAAAATCAGGCCATTTGGTGGCCTCTTGTTGGCAGTTCGTTACAGTGCCCCTAAATGTCTTCCTTCCTTGGCAGGAACTTTAGCAGTGCTAAAATTTTTATCTTAAGGAGATTTTGACAGCGATTGGTAGAGCCAGCCTAAGTGTGAAAAAAAGAAAATGCTTCTGTATGACAGGAGCTTCATTACCTTCTTAAGAACTAACCAAGCTTCCTCTTCCATCTTTTTCTAGAAAAAAGCATTATTAGAATCAGTAAGAGCCTCCATTTGTAGGTTTCATGTTTCATGTGCAAATGCCCTAATGATGACAATGAGTTTATCAGAAGACAAACAGCCAAAACTTTTGAGAAGTGGAACAAGGGCTTGCAAGACTTGGAAACCATTGCCTTTGGAGCTAAAGATTGAACAATCCCCTCTCCCCATACTCCAACTTCTATTTGGAAAATAGACAGGATCAACTTGAACATGAAAACTGTAGGAAGAAACATCATATCACATGATTTATTGAGTGAAAAAGTTCCTTTTCATTCCATTCTACAACAGATTGGGCTAAAAGTCATTTTGAAAGAAAGTGCATCATTCAGGAGTTGTATCTCATCATGCAGTCACTCAGCAGCATTTTATTGAAAAGGGCGTGCATAGACTCAGACAATTGCAAACTATTTCGGCTACTACCTAGAGCAATTTTTGACACACTGTACTGGGAAAGTGCTTCAGCTCTGAACAACTTATCAAGGCAGACTGCATGCACCTATATGTTAGTTATTTGCTTGAAAAGACAACAATTTAGAATATGAAAATATATAAGCAGCATTCATGTAATACAGAATTCCTGAGAATAGTGTGTGCTATATAAATCTTTGAGAAATAATTTGTATTCGTATGAAAACCATGATATAAAACATTTCTCTCAATGAAAGCAGAGTGATTTAAAACTCACATACTGTGAGGGGGCTGACAATATTTTGCTGTCAACAATGATGAAGGCAGAGCTAGGTTCTACTGCACTGTTTCACAAAAAGACATTTACAGATAACTTTTTCATTGTTTCTCTATTTTTTGATTGGTCTGAGAAATTACCAGAGAAGGTAACGTCTACATCAATTTATTATAATTTTTTTTAAATTAAAAATACCATTCTCTTTTCATGTTTTTCTCTCTGGGCGATCAATACAATTTTAAACCCTAATGGTGGTAGTATAAAAATAACTCAGAAAGAACTGAATTCTCAAGAACATGGCTATCATTATTCTTTGCTCTTCTGTAAAACAATTGTCTTTGTCTTATATCCCTAATTTGGGAGAGACCTAAATGTTAGGTTCATTGGTGTCTTCAATAGGCATACAGAGTATTTATGCTCAGGCATGGTATATACATTTAACTAACAAAGAAAAGGAAATGCTGCAGATGCTACAAAAATGGAGGAGCTTAAACTCCTTTGTGTAGTTAGTGGAATTAGTTGCTATGAATATGCAGGGGACAGAAACAGAATCTCTGAGGAATGTGAATGGAAGGGTCCCACGTGACAAGGGCATGGGAGGAAGTTTAGAGGTCATACCCCTGGTTCAGTCAGATTCAGAATCAGAGGGCAGATTTTTTTTTACAAATCAAACCAAGGAACAACGATGATCTATCACAGCTCTTCCCTGGAGCAAAAGAAGAAAAAGCCGAAAGGCCATTTTCAGTGTTAGGATGACAAAAAGTAGTTTTCTAGTAAGAGAAACTTTATAATTTTCTTACTAGAGACACCCTAGCATATATACAAAGTAGCTTTATTTCCATTGTCTTTAGTCTGGTCTTTATGCATTGTGGAAATAACTGTGCTTTGTTTAATTGAGCAAAAAACAAACTGGACAAAAATTATGAATCATATATATATAGTATATATCTGAACGCGTGAGTATATGTGATTTGCCAACCCCCATTCCCAGGGGAGGAAATGTGAGATTCATTTTGATCGCTTTGCCAAGGAACGGTGTCTTCATTTCTCCCATTCATTCCCTTGTTTCAACTCTCCTCTTTCCTCCCCTCCCGCTCCCATTGCTTATGCCTCCACCAGACTTTATTTCCTTGAATCCCTCATCATTCCTACTTCATCCATCTGTGAGCAATACCACAGATAGAGATGACATAGAAGTAGCAACTCCACAACAAAGCAAAATGATGTCTTTTAGAATTGACTTGATGTTGGTTTTAGAGAGTTTTCAAAAATCAACCAAGTTGGTCTATCAAAGAAACAATAACAGAAAACTCCCCTCCTCGATGAAAAGAAAATAAAACAAAAAAATGTGTGTGTTTTTTTTTACAAATAATACAAATTTATATCCATGCATTATTTTCATTAGCTCACGAACAAAAGTGCACATTGTTAGAAAAGCTTAAAGTGTTGCAAAGCATTTGGCTTCTGATTTCCTGAATAAACAAGTCACAAGGGCATACCATGTATCTGGTCTCAGAGCTGCACGAAATGTAACTTGCATTACACATTGCCAAGGTGCAAAGGTACAAGGAAAACCAACATATGTACAGCATTTCAAGTTATTCTGTTATTCTGCAAGAGTTATTATAATAAACCAGGGAGGAAAAAATTAAAAATACTATAAAACAGCCCTCCATGGTAATATATGGATGAGTGGTATTCTATATGATATGAGAATAAACGCCCATATTTTTAGAGTATGTGGCTCTATTGGAATTCACGGGTTTTTTGCTTGTTTTTTAAAAAAGACAGTGCGACTTGTTCTGCCGGTGAAACAACACGTTTGAATGTAGCCAATGCAATAGGATATATTTCAATGAATAGTATTCTTTTTAGAATCTTAGTTTTTGGTTTGACTACTAATGGTGGTGTGCAACAATTCCACTGCATAGTCAATGTAAAGCAGCATAAATTCCTTGTGGCACAGATCCATAATCTCATCAAGGAACAAGAAAAATTCCCCAAACCTAGAAGCTGAAGGGACATGGAATTCTGGCAGCAAAGGCAATAACTGATTTAAGTCATTCCTTCTAAGTCATTTCCTATAAGTATCTCAACTCAACCTAAGTAATGTTCCAGATTATGTGATTGAAGACCACATGAGACTTTCAGCATGCCTGGCTTATGAACGTTTACATGGAAATCTGTTGCTAGAATCCTCACCATCACCCTTCCCGTTACACTGCAGCTGATGGAGGGTGGAGGTCTCCCAACACACAACTCCCTGAGGCTGGTTCTGAGAATTAGATCCTGGCTTCCTGCACTGTCAATCTAACCATTCTTTAAGGTCATGAGTCATCTTTCTCTTCCCTAGAAGCCTGGACATTCCAAATCCCAGAGATGGTTGTGCTGCATTTCCAAGTAACGTATCATACATATGGTTTGCCAGGTGTGCCTTCCTCCTGGATCCCACCTAGAATTTTAAAGTTGCTGTCATTCCCACTAATGCTATTGCCCCTACTGGGCAACAGGAATCAACTAAGGCCATTCATGGTGAACGGGATGACCACTTTTTCTCCGTTGTTGTTGCAAATGTTCCAGTTCAGCCTCGTACATCATCTCTTGGACTAAGTACTTCTCCCGTCGTATTCGGTCATACAGGTTCTTTGGTACATCTGGAATCAGGTATGCAATGAATGACTTGATCCCAAAAACAAGGTGCTGCAAATTTAAGAGGGGAAAATACAATTTTCAAAGATTCTGAAAGGCCAATTATAAAACATCATAAACAACGTTGCATTTACCTTACAGTCCAGCATCAAAACACAGGATGCACTATCTAGAATATTAAAATTTTTGTTTCTATTACATAATTCTTTTATGATGAAAATGTATTTTTTTTTAAAGAGACTAATGAAAGTATTGTGTATAAAAAAGACAGGATTAAAAACCAAAAGGTAAAACCTGTGGTCTCAAGTTCAGAGGCTGAATGAGACCACCTGTGTTGAACCATCCCCTGACACCTTAGCTGTGTAACCTTACGCAAATCACCTATGTTCTCTGTGTCTCATCTCTAACATGGTAACAGTAATAGTATCTCTTAAAGGTTGTTACAAGGATTAAATGAGCAAATATATGTGAAGGGTGTGGAGAAGGGCTTGGTGCAGTATAAGCACCACTTAAATATCATGTCTTATTATAATAAATACATCCTTTCTCTTTTCTGTAGAGGACAGAAAAGAGAAGAAAATCTGAACTGATAGAGTTAGGATGATATGTGGAAAAAACCCCATTTACCTACAGGACTTTGTGACAATCATCTCTCCATGTGGAAAGAACTCGAGGCACTTTCAACTGGTTTTAGTATGAGTATCTCAGTAAACTGCACTGTGGTAAAGCAGGTCCTACTTCCCATAGAAAAGTAGATCAGAAATTTCTTTCCTGATCAAATATTTGGTATTCACAGAACTATCTGGCAGTGTGTCTCAAAAGTGTAGAAATAAAAATAAAAAAAAAAAAACATTTGTTATAATTTAAATTAGTGAAGAATCTTCACCAAGTCCTTTACAATGGTAATAAATGACCCTATAAACTGATTCACTCAGAGAGACTGATATGCAAAAATGATTCAGTATTTTTAAAAGGCTGTTTTTTTAAAAAGCTGGTTTATCACCTATGAAGGCAAGCTTATAACTACTTATAGACGACAAACTTCTTAAACTGACAGAATTTATCTTAAATAAAAAACTAGAGCAAGTATCATACTTAAAAAAAAATTTGTATTCAATTTGGAAACAAGACACAATTGCTCACACCGCTGCTTTTCCACACCTTGTGGAAATTTCCAAACACAGTAAGGCACGCAAGAGAAATGAGGCATAAACCTCACAAGCACAGAGACAAAGCTATTGTTATGGTCAACTTGAGTTATCCTTTGAAAAGACAATCTAACAGATTTAACAGACAGAAAATTAGAAAATGAAAGATTTAGGGGAGCCTGGGTGGCTCAGTGGGTTAAAGTCTCTGCCTTTGGCTTGGGTCCTGATCCCAGGGTCCTGGGATCGAGCCCCACGTCGGGCTCTCTGTTCAGCAAGAAGCCTGCTTCCCCCCTCTCTCTGCCTGACTCTCTGCCTACTTGTGATCTTTCTCTGTCAAATAAATGAATAAAATCTTAAAAAAAAAAAAAAAAGAAAATGAAAGATTTAAACAAGGAGCTACACACATTTTAGATAGACAATTAGACAATTCCAGCAAAAAGCAATCAAATCATAATGGAGGTTAACATAGTATTTATAACAGCAATAAAAATATCTACAAAATTTTTGGATATAAGAAGGAATGAACTAGCAAAAGAATATTTCAAAACTCTATTATAGGCTATAAGAACAATTTGAATAAATTTCATATTTATTAATGAATCAGCACAGAGTATGTAAATAAATCAACATGTGCTTTCTACAAATGTAATTCTTTTTTTAAATCTAATTTTATTTTATTTTCAGTGTTCCAAGATTCATTGTTTATGAACTACACCCAGTGCTCCATGCAATACGTACCCTCCTTAATACCCACCACTAGGCTCACCCATCCCCCCATCTCCTCCCTTCCAAAACCCTTAGTCTGTTTCTCAGAGTCCACAGTCCCCCATGGTTTGTCTCCCTCTCCAATTTCCCCTAACTCAAGTAATTCTAATCATAATCCTTGCATGCTATTTGGGGGAGTCTGATGGCTTCTGCAATGTATATGAATGATTCATAACTCTAAATAGCCAAGGCAATTTTTAAAAATAAGAGCAGACTTGGCAGGGGTGGGAAATAGATGGCTTTATCAGATATGAAGATATATTCCAAAACCACGGCATTTAAGTAGTGTGACAGTGAACAGGAATAGACAAATGAAGTAATGAAATCAGAACACTGAGGCCAGGCACGTGCTTACTGTAGGGATTTGGAATATTACAGAGGTGGATTTACAAATCAGTGGATAAATACCATATTAGTAAATAGCAGTACAAAAAGTTATTTCACTATATAAAGAATAAGAAAAACAAGCCTTTCCTTCAGACTCTATGAAAAGTCCTGATATCTTTAAGATGTGTGATAGATAAGACTATAAAATTAATAGTAAAAAATATGGTAGAATATTCTTTTGACCTGGAGATAAGAAAATTTCCTAAAGAAGCTAGACCAAAAAAGCCAAAACCTTAATAGGAAAACAATGATGGGCCTGATGACATCAAAATTAGACACTATTTGTTAATAGATAAAATTAGTAGGTTATGGACAAGAAAGAGATATCTGGTAAAGACTGATTTATAACTGGCAAACACATAAGCAAATCTTGAAATTTGGTAACAAATAAACTGGAAACTCAGCCAAAATAGATCAAAGTTAGAAATTCACAAAAAAGGAAACCAAAATGGCTTTCTAGTAATAAAAGTAATAGTCAGTATCATGAATAAATAGATTAAAACAAAAAAAAAAAACCCCAAAATATTACCTTACTCCTATCCATCTGCAAAATACTAGAAATTCAGACAATTTGAAAATCTGGTGAAAATCTAAGGGAATTTTGGAGAGGGACCTTTCAGTTTTATGTGAAATCAAGTATGCATATAAATAATTCCACACCTGAGTAAAATACTCTCGAAAAGCCCTTAAATATGTTCAGAAGGTGACATGTCCAAGATTTCTAATAAGAGATTTATACAGATGGAAAGAATTATTGTAGGCCTAAATATCCACCCATGGGGACTACAGCACTTAAATTCAATGAACTATATCATACTAAGTAGACAGAAGAAATTATCTAAAATATCTAAACTTCATGGATAGATCTCTTTCTATATCTAAAAAAAGTAAAATGGGTAAGAGATAAAAATGAGTTATCACATAATACCATTGAAGTAATTTTTAAAAAAAGAACATTTAAGACAATATTTTATATATATACATATATATATATATATATATATTTTTTTTTTTTTTTTTTCCAAATAAACATGTGGAAAAACTTCTGAAAGAAAGAGAGTGGGTGCTTTTGGAGTAGGTGGGTAATGGAATTAGTAATGAGAAATATTGAAGAAAAGATAAAAAGGGAATCATATGTATCTACAATGAAAGTTTGCTGTGAATTGAGACATTTGATGAAGTCTGTTCACCTGAGTTCTAAAAGAAGATGAAGAAGAAAAAAGTGTACATTAAAAACACAGTAAGAAAAGACTTTCCAGAATCACTGCATTAGAAATATGCCTTAACCTCTTTGCTACCTGTAATAAAATGAAAAGTCACACTTCATCAGGAGACTTTTTTATAGGCTCATAGAGTCATTAGTTAATAGAATTTCATCCTGGATTAAACCTTAGAGGTAAGCATTTCGTATTACAGATGAAGGATGTTTCACAACAAAATTTGACATATTTTTTGGAGATCAGTGGAGAGATATATCCGCCTTTAAAAAGACTTTTTCTAAAAGTCTTCGGTATGGCTACTTTTTCTCTCTTCCTAAGAAACAGATGCATTCAAAGTGCTTTTTCACAGAATTTGGCGGTACCTTAAAGAATATCCAATATATCCCAGCACTAAATTCATCACTGTATTAAGCTTCTTAATATGCTAAGGAAGCCAATAATACTGTAGCTGCTTCAAAATTTCTTCACAGGACCAGTCTAATATTAATGACTCTGATAATCAAAATTTATGTGTATTTTATGAAAGTGTTCTCGGGCATTGTTTATTCACACTGTCCCTTATACAAATACACATGTGGTCAGCTGTAATTAAGTTGATTAGCAAATAAGTTTTTCCACCTTGATGAGTAAGTAGAGATTCTCTCATCAAATGATGAAAACCATCCTTTCCTTTAATGTGGTTACTAGGAAGTTCAAAGTTAAGTTTTCAGTTCAACTGTTAATAGCTTCTTTTATCCTCATTTTCTGGTATGAATACCCACTGATCTACCTTCTTCAACATTTTTCAGCTCTTTCTTTTTTGTACATTGTATAGCAGGTTCACCATACCTAAACCCCGTACTGTATATCAACAAGTTCTTTTTTGGAACTCAGTGAGGAACTACTATATTGAAGAGTCAACTAATGTATCAGTCAGAAAAGCGTTTACCCATAGTGATTTTATCAGCCTGTGACTAACCTCAAACACGATAATGAAAGCCAATCGAGCAGCAAGGATATGCCAGTATTGTAAGGTGAACTCATAGGGTTTGGAACTCCAAGGGGGACCTCTGTAGTCTCGGTACCTAAAATCCACAAGACAAAGATCTGAGGCATAGAGATTAAAGTGCAAAGGCCCCACATGTTTTTAATTTGCCAAAACCCCAAAATGTCAGTTGAAATGGGCTCATCAGCGTGTAGAGAGAGGAGATGGGAGATGAAAGCAAGAAGAAAAGATAGCTATAATTTATAATGAAGTACCTGCAATAACCAGATTTTCCCATACCAAGCTCGCTCAGGTCAAAGAAGGATAGGCTATTGTTGACATATCCCTTTAAACAACTGGGAGAAAAGAAAAGCATCATGTAATTCAGAGTCATAAATTTCTAGTCCAATTTCTTCATTACACATGACAGGATTTGGTAAGGGCTATTATTCCTTCCATTTTAATTATAAATTCCTAATGACTCAGCTCTCTGATTTTACCTCCTAACTTCCATTAATCTATAATTTTATCTCAATGAGACAGAATCTTGTCTGCCATTTCCCCCCACTTCATTTACCTCCATTTATTAAGTGTTTACTATGTACTTGGCATTGTGTTAATTATTTCCCATGTGTTAAAACTCTATAAAGACAAGTTTATGCATATAGATATATGCATATCACCCTATCTGGCTAATTGTAATTAAGCAGCCAATTGATCAACATGTGTCTTTGTGATTTATTAACTTATTCAATACATATTTATTGAGAACCTTTGTTAGAAAATTCCTAGACACTTGTTATTTGACAAGGAACAAAACAGGTTAAAATCCCTGTCCTGCAAACCATAAGTGATTCTTAATCTCACAAAACAAACAGAGTTGCTGGGGGGAGGGGGGTTGGGGGGTGGAGTTATGGACATTGGGGAGGGTATGTGCTATGGTGAGTGCTGTGAAGTGTGTAAATCTGGCGATTCACAGACCTGTACCCCTGGGGATAAAAATATATTATATGTTTATAAAAAAAAAAAAAAAAATCCCTGTCCTGGTGGTGAAATATTAAATCGTGGTCAGAATCAACTTTTACCATAACCTTAGAACATATATATTATTATCTTCATCATATAGATTAAAGAACTAAGTTTTACAGAGACTAAATAACTTCCTCCTAACACTGTATTCCTCAAAATTTTTGATCTTGACTAATCTTTATATTTTTAAAAATTACTGAGAATCTCAAGGAGTTTTTACAGAGGGGTATATGTATTGGTATTCAGCACATTAGAAATTAAAATAGAAATTTAGAAAATATTTATCTATTAATTCATTTAAAATAATATATCACATACATTAAAAGTTGATATAAATAGCACATTTTTAAAGAAAAATAGTTCATATGTTCCAAAAGATGAAGTGAGAAGAATGACATCCTTTGATGTCTTCCTTAATAGAAGATAGCTAGATTCTCATGTCTATTTCTGCATTAAATCTGGTTGCAATATGTTGTTTTGGTTGAAGAATAAGTAGATAATTACATAGATAAGTACTTTAAAAAAAGGTATTTTAATAGCATTTCAAGTAATTATTGATTTAAAAAATATTTTTTTTTAATTTCTTTTCAGCATAACAGAATTCACTTTTTATGTACCACACCCAGTGCTCCATGCAATACGTGCCCTCTATAATACCCACCACCTGGCTCCCCTAACCTCCTACCCCCTGCCCCTTCAAAACCCTCAGATTGTTTTTCAGAGTCCATAGTCCATAGTCTCTCATGGTTCATCTCCCCTTTCAATTTCTCTCAACTCCCTTCTCCTCTCCATCTCCCTATGTCCTCCATGTTATGCTCCACAAATACGGGAAACCATATGGTAATTGACTCTCTCTGCTTGACTTATTTCACTCAGCATAATCTCTTCCAGTCCTGTCCATGTTGCTACAAAAGTTGGGTGTTCATCCTTTCTGATGGAGGCATAATACTCCATAGTATATATGGACCACATCTTCCTTATCCATTCATCCGTTGAAGGGCATCTTGGTTCTCTCCACAGTCTGGCGACCGTGGCCATTGCTGCTCTAAACATTGGGGTACAGATGGCCCTTCTTTTCACTACATCTGTATCTTTGGGGTAAATACCCAGTAGTGCAATTGCAGGGTCATAGGGAAGCTCTATTTTTAATTTCTTAGGGAATCTCCACACTATTCTCCAAAGTGGTTGCACCAACTTGCATTCCCACCAACAGTGTAAGAGGGTTCCCCTTTCTCCACATCCTCTCCAACACAGGTTGTTTCCTGTCTTGCTAATTACTGATATTTTTCATTGACATTACATCAAAGTTCTACCCGTGGTCATTTCTTAAAATTTAATTGCAATGTGGAGCCTTAAAGTATTGATAAACTTTTCATAAGGATTTTACATTAAAATCCACAGGTCTATCTTGTATTTCAAATTCATATTTTATCCATGCATGATATTGTGACATTAAATATGGGTCACTTGGGAAATAGTTTCCTAAATTATACAGATCTTCCAAATGTTGTTATATTTCTACTATGGACTATGAAAATAATAATGGACTAAGAAAATCACCACTGATTTTTATCAGGAAAAAAATGTGTAAGTACTGGGAATCTTTCAAGTTCAGTGGTAGATAACATTATCCAAAATTCTGATTTTCACTTCAAAAACTTGAACTTTCTTAATGGCAACAAATACTGTCAATTATTTCCCCTAAAATGACAAGCTAGTTTTGTCCATTTCTAGAAGAGTGCCTCCTAAATACCCAAGTCTGAATAATAATAATTTATATGGCAATCATTATTTCATGTTAAAAAATTTTGTTTAGTTTGCAAATCCAACAATCACGCAAGTGTTTTTCTCCGAGATGACCATCACCATACTTAAACATGTATCAGAAGACCTTTGTCACACTTTGCATTTTATCAAATAGAATACTGAAAAGACATTTATTCAAGGGTGGAGATCTGATAAAATTAACAATCGTTATTGCTTCATCAAGGGCATCCTGAATTTTATTACTGGCACTTTTTAAATGGTAGTTCTACAATGGTGAGGAACACAATCATTGTTAGTACTTTTTGGTACCACTGCCTTCAGTTACATGAAGCCACAGGATCATTTTATCCACTATCACTTTTTTACCATCTGTACAAATGTCCATATGGCAAAACAAACAAATAATATCTTAGTATTATTAAGAAAATAATCTAAAAGAGACCTGTCCTATGCTGAGAGTCATTCCCCAGGATAAACAGTTGTTAAAACCTGGATTTGAATGTGCATCTATCTCATTCTAACCCCTGAATTCTAAAGTGCAGCACCACACTGGTTTCACTCCCCTCCCCATCCACCTCAAACCCCATGATTTATCATCCCAATTGCTCTCTTGCCAATACCCTCCTCTTCACTGACATTTTGTCCTTTTGCTATTTTGTTTGGGAAATTTCTGATCTGAATGAATTTACTCCTGTTTAGCTGCTAAGGATAACTGGAAAAAATTAAATAACAAGATGGCCCTACGAATGTGTGGTTCCAACCTCATCCAAGCCCTCCACATATCTTCTTGAAGTTATTCTACATCTGGTCACTGAGTATGGAGAAGGCACCGGGTGCTATCTCCATGAAAGGCAGGACTTGAAAAGTAAACAGATAACCAACCAGTATCATTTCCACCTGCCACTAGGTGGAAGCAAAGACAGTAGCAAATAATGCTTCTAAGGAAGAGGGCTGCCCAAACCTGCCTACATATTATAAAACCTTGAAATCTGCTTCTAGACTATTTTGAATTAAGAAAAAAGGGACCTTTTTTGGTTTTTCACTGTTAGTACTAAAACCAATTTACTTATATGGTCTTTTATAGTTTATAAAATGTTACTTTAGACACCATTTCTTCTTTTAAAAGTTAATTAATTAATTTATTTATTTATCAGAGAGAGAGAGAGAGAGAGAGTGAGAGAGAAAGCACAAGCAGGGGAAGCAGCAAGCAAAGGGAGAAGCAGGCTCCCTGATGAGCAAGGAGCCTGGCATGGGACTTAATTCCAGGACTCCAAGATCATGACTTCAGCCAAAGGCAGATGCTTATCTGACTGAGCCACCCAGGTGTCCCTAGACACCGTTTCTTTATTACAGGTCCAGACACAAGACTCCAAAATATATTTTATGCCCTTATTACTTCTCTTTGAAAAACTGAGATATTTATGACCAGAAAGGCATTTATTTCAGTGTTCTGAGAAAAACATCAGTTCATCAGTGGGACAAAGGGTTAATTTCATCTTAAGCCACAGCTCAGGCTCTTGGGGCACATGCCTTATATCTAAATAAAACGCATGCCCAAAACTGCTCCTGAGGCAGGAGGGCAAGTGGCTTCACCCATCACTACTTCCACACCTAAGGCTAATCTCCAGCTGAAACTCCGATTTCTGTTCCCCAAGTCCAGTGCTCTCTTGCACTCTTTCTTAATACTTGCTTTGAAGAAAGAAAGATGTGAAAAATCCATTTCCCCTTAAACAGTGCTTGTAAACTGGGTGATTTTGTCCCCCAGGCAATATTTTGCAATGTCTGAGGACAATTTTAGGTTGTCACAATCTGGGGAATAGGGAGGCTGCTACTTGTATCTACTGGGTAGGAGGCCAAGGATGCTGCTGAATATCCTACAATGCATAGAATAGCCCCCACCTTTCCCCAGAATAGAATGATCTCATCTAAAACGTCCATAGCACAGAGGTCGAGAAATGCTGTTCTACTGAAGGTTTTGGAGGGAAGGGGATTGGGTGGGCCTGGTGGTGGGAATTAAGCAGGGCACCTATTGCATGGAGCACTGGGTGTGGTGCATAAACAATGAATTTTGGAACACTGACAATAAAATAAAATAAAATTTTAAAAAGTAAAATAAAATAAAATAAATAAATAATTTGAAAATAAAACAAAATGCTGTTCTAAAGTATGGATTCAAATTTTATTAACAAACACAAGACAAAAGTCCAGGGCTGCATTTCTGCACCTTAAAATCCCTAGTTAAAAATCCCTTTTGAAAAAAGGGGCTCCTGGGTGGCTCAGATCATTAAGGGTCTGCCTTCAGCTCAGGTCATGATCTCAGGGTCCTGGGATCAAGTCCCACATCGGGCTCCCTGCTTAATGGGGAGTCTGCTCCCTCTGCCTCCTGGCTTGTGCTCTCTGTCACTATCTCTCTCTCTCTCAAATAAGTAAAATTTTTAACAAAAAGAAAGAAAGAAAACTCTCCAGTTATGTAGCTGACATTTCCTTCATATTTTGTATTTCCCTGCAAACTAGCTTTATTCCCTGAAGCAATTTGATTAACCAGTGTGGTCCCAACTATATAGTCAGAAGATTGCATTGGATGATTTCTAACATCTGTTCCAGTTCTGAATTTTACTTCTAAATACATTATAATGTTTTTAACATTTGGATACCAGTGATGCATTTACACGTATAACAGAGAGATGCTTTAAAGTTATTTGCATAAGAAAACACTGTTGCCCTTTTTATCCTGCTTGATTTCATCCAATAAGCACATTGTAAGTACAATGATCAAAAACACTGCCCTTAATGGTTACAGAACTTCCCAATGAGTTCCCATTACAATCACAAACATAAAACATATCAGAAAAAAGTATGAATTTCAACCTTACTTTTCACCATATTCAAAACGACTTGCACAGGGGCCATATTTGTATTCATAGACAAAACGTGGGATGTAATCAGATGTAATAGCGATTACAAATGCATTGGTGATCACGGCCAGTATACCAATTCCTTCGAGAATGCCATACCAGATTCCTAGGGGGAGAAAGAGTAGAGATAGGGAATGAAATGGAAAAAAAAAAAAAAAATGAAAACCCTTTCATGACTCTTCTTTGGAAAGAATGTTTTTACTTCTACTGGGGCCATGGCTTTGTCCATTATTTACTTTCTTAGTACGATATCTCACTACAGATCCAACATCTACTGAATACTTTTCCACTGAGGGAAAGTTGACCCCAGCTAGAGAGATCTGAAAATGAAAATATCATCAGGAATTCTTTCAAGTACCTTTTAAAGTAAAAATATAAAAATGTGTCAAGATCTGGAAATCACTAGCTGACTTTTCCAATTTGGTATACAGATGTACAAAAAAGCTTTTGAAATTATATACAGTATCCACATACTATTGGTTATAGTCAAAACTGATGTTTCAAGTAGGATTAAACTTAGCTTTAAATATATTGATATGAAAAAAAAAAAGTCCTGGAAAGAGATATTCACAAGTGCTAAAGCTGATGGGATAGCATGGCAACTTCCTCTCTGCCAACCCCTTTCTTCGTCTTTCAAAATCTTTATTATGTTTTATTATATTGAGTCGTAATGAACAAAATAAAAATACAGAAGACATAAGATATAAAATGTCATGAAACAAGAAATCAGAATTCATAAAAATATTCGAATTCATCAAAATTTAACATTTATTTTTATAAAAGTAACAATATTTGGTGAAAAGAAAGCAATCACCAGGGAGAAAATATTTGCTTCACAAAAAATGGACAAAGTGTTATGATACAAAATGTACAAAATATCCTAAATTTTAATAAGGTAAGAGAAAAATGGGCAAAGAATACAAATGAGTAATTTGCTATGGAAATGCAAATAATTGATAAATATATTAAAATTTTTTCAGTTACTAGTATTTGGAAAAAGGTCCTTCAAAAAGTAAGATTTTTTAAAAAAATCTACCAGATTGTAGAAGATTTGAAAGTCTTAGACCATCCACTGCTGCTTAGGGATTGTGGAAACCAGTGAACAGAAACAAACATGGTTGTTTGACGTATGACTTGTTAAAATATTTGTGGTGGTTAATCTGATATCTTTTAAAATTAAAATATGAGTACATTTTAATCTAGCAGGCCTTCTTTTTGGGATCTGTACCTGTACACACACATTTATGGATATGTGATACACAATACATATAATATCGAAGTCTGTGTCTATATTTATACCTATATTTGTCTATTGCTAGATTTATGTATGCTTATTCCTGCTTACAGTGGGAAAGCTAAGTAAATGACCTAATCTCGAGGAGACTATCTTGAGGAAATAATCTAAGTATGTAAGAAGATGTATGTTCACCTCAGTGTTGCTTATAATAGAAAAAAACATCTCTAGTTAAGGGAATGATTTTTTAGAAATGTCATAAAACGTGCCATAGAAATTTGTGGAGTAACTATAAGGAAGGAGGCAGAGCTATGCTTATTAACATGGAAAAACATATATGAATCATTTTTAGTGATAAGTTCATGAAATAGCATGTTTAGTGTAAAATGCTCTCAACTAAGTTAGTGTTCATTTCATGATTTTGTTAATCAAAACTGTTCAGTTTTGTTATAGTTGGAAGGAGCCCCAAGAATGGAAACCCACACAGTGCTTAGATCAAGGCTCTTCTTGGCCTCAGAAATGCAAAAACCATGTGATTTCTGCATCTTACCTATGTCAGTTGCTCGAGCTGGCAGAGGCCTCCGCCACTGGGTGACAAACTTGTATGCATCCAGCCTGATCTCAATGATATTGTTCAACAATGCCAAAAGAGGGGCCAGAGGAAAAGCCGCAACAAAGATGGTGGTAAAACCAAACTGCAAAACTGTAAAGGGAGAGTGTTGCAAAATTAGTAACATAAACCATATAGTTTCTTGAATGCTTTCTTTGTGCCCTCTGAGGGGCTTCCCATAAATAATCTTTAGTCCTTTCTCAATATCCCTACAAGGTAGATATGCTCATATTTTGCTGTTGAGATAACTATAACTCATATGTATGAAGTAAACTTGCCAAAGTGTGGATAGCAAAAAATGTTAAAACCTGCATTTAAACTTTGATCTCAATGGACTGAAAGTCTCTGTGCTTTCCATCACTCTACCAGGTGGCTCGAAGGAAGAGCGAATAAAAAAGTCAAAGAGGCGGCCTTGAAGAAAACCTCTAGGGGATCCAAGACACCTAATCTTGTCCTTTCTTTTTATAGAGGAGACGACTTTAAAGGCCAGAGAAAGAGCAAATGTGAAGACAACACACAAAGATTTTAACAGTTGGAGTGAGAATCGGGCTTCTCGAAGAAGCTAAACACACCATGTCTGTGTAAAGGTTTATTGCAAGAAATAATCATCACCTTATTTGAGCAGGGTGGTGTATTTTTGGTATAGGAATGGGTTCTGATTTATTTTGTTCCTTTAAAAATATCTGCATTAAAGGTAGATGTTCTACTATGAGAAAACCCTCCATCCTGGTCAAATGGGACAGTTGACAAAGGACAGAATTTGTGAGCCTTTCAAGGACATTGTTTTACTATCTTCTCTAGTTATGTTGAGAAAAAGGTACAGAGGTATTTTAGGACACTTGGGGTTGGAAAGGAGAGAGATGGTTTTCTCTCTTGAACCAAAGCCTGTGTGAAGGAAAAAAACAAAACCGTACCAAAAAGGCCAAATAGCTGTGTAGAAGCTTCTCTCCTTACCCATTTCTAAATACTCATCCATCAGTCCATGAATATTCATGGGCTGCAGGTTCCAATCATTTTCCCACTGAGGAATCGATGCATCTTGTATTCCCCGCTTGATTTTATGTCGTGACCACCAGTTCTGGATCAACCTATATCACAGAGCAGACAAGGAGCTTTTGAGCTCTTAAATGCATATGGTGAGCAATTTATAGTGTAATAAGAAAAGAGAGATAAGCACTACCCTGGGAGCACACTAGGCATTTCTGGGAACTGGGGGTATTTGCATGGTCTCAACTTCCAAGTTTAGGAGGCAGGAATAGGCTACAGCCTTCTTCGACCTTGCACACATCTACCTTTGTATCTGGGAATTAATTCCCCCACACACTTATGTGCTTCCTGATACTTAATAGACAAACACCCATTTGTAGGATTCTTTCCCTCTACCCCCTCAACCTCTATATGCACTTAAACTTCTATGTTGCCTGTTATGATTACATCTGAGACCTTCATTACTCATAACCCAAAATCTTCTGGATTGTGCTCTCTGAACATGAGTAAAATCATGTTCCATACCAAATAAGTGAGCCCTAGATAAGGTTTCAAGAGATATAGGTTCTAGTCCCCACCCTACAATGCACTAGCTGTGTGACTTTTAGTAAGTCTATTTACCTCTGTGGTTTATGAAGATGAAGGCTTTGAGTATTAATAATTACATTTTGCTACTATAGTGAACAATAATTTATGGCAATGGATCTGTGCCTGGGTCGATTTAAAAGACTTGGAACGGAATTAACAACACTATTTCCCTAGCTTAGGGGCAGTCTTAAAATTATGTGACCCTGAAATATCTCATCGTGGGGACTTCTGGGCAATTATTTATTTTAAGAGTTAGATGAACATTACCTCCAGAATGAAGTGAATTCTAAAATGAATCCCAACTCTCAATATTAATTAAGCATGGACCTAGAACTCACTGGGTATTGGAAGACCAACCCTAGACCAAAATGTCAGGTAGTCAGTTCCCCATGTATGTCCCATGGAGGTTGCCTCTGGGGCCTCATGAAGATGCAAAAGGGACTGGGTGCTGAGATTGAGGCAGGCCTGCTAGGCTTAATTTTAATTACTTCAGCCTGCTTAAGATTTTACTTTAAAAAAGAGAACTGAGTTATAAATGTTTCAAAATTATTGCTTTACTGACTGGTCCACTCCTGTTGGATTCAGAAAAACACCAACAGGATGTCCCTTACCATGGTACATTAGGGATCTGATATACACAATCCAGGCTGACCACATGGGCAAGGTCATGCTGAAAATGTGCTATCCAAGGTGCATGCTATGTACAGAGGCACACAAACAACGGCAACAACAAGAATCATTCTCAATACTATAATGACGACTACGCCATCTTGATGGTGCTTATGAAGCTATTTCATTCACAGCACGTCAGATCCTGTGGTGGGCACTTGCTACCTAATCTTCTCAGCTATTTTCAAGTGATGTTTCCAAATCCTGTGTCTCAAACAGATAAGCCAGGAATAGGAAGGGATACAAACAATGAACTGGGCTCCCCAATCCCTATGCTCTCTTCATTTACAAGAGATATTTATTTTTTCTGTTTTGAATATTGAGGATCTGTATAAAAGTCTCTTCAAAAAAGTGTTCTGTCATTTATTGATGAGGTTTAAAGATCGCTGGGCATTTCTTGTAATCTCCTCCTTTATTTTATAAATAAAAAAAATAATCTCACAGATAGGTCAAGGAAATTACAAGCATCTTCATTTGGCAAGAGGCAGAAAAGGAATGTGAACCAGGTCTCTGTGATTTCATAGTCTAAGCTCTAAGACTGCCTGTAACTTACCACAATAGTTTATGGCAGATTTCAGGGTAAATATCACTTCTCCAGCCCTAAGGTCTCTGCTCTGGAATATCCTGAGACCATTTGTCCGCCAACAAGGAGAAAGAATCACGGCATAATGAGATGACTAAGCCTAAGCTATTTATATCATCAATTAGAAATTCCTCAAAATAGTCTTGCTTTTAACCTTGGTTAGGCCTCAAAGCTTCCATCAGACATTGTTTTACACAAACTGTATTTCAGCGTATTTGGAAGAGTAATCTATGTTATTAGATGTTAGAAGTAGGCATTCAACACTCTTCATGTCAGCATTCCACAGACCATTAAATCCCATTGAAAGGGACAAAACAGAATGCTACTCTTTTGTGAAATCAATCCTGTTCTAATGACATTTTTTTTTCATGTAATAAAGAGTACAAGACCTCCTTATCCAGAAATTTATCTTTGTTTTATTCTTTTTTTAAGAGGGGAAGCGTAAATGGAGGTTGTCTTTGTTAAACAATGACAACCTTGGTCTTTTGATGGCCGGAAGAACCCAGAAAGTTATTCTTCTCCTCAAGAATCTATACTGTCAATAGTGATTTAAGAATAGCAACAAATATCTTAATGTGTTGAACAGAGTACCAGGTGCTCGACACCCACTATTTCGTTTAATCCTCACAAGTGTTTGCTCAAGGCACATATAGCCATTGATCCTCTTAGAGATGTGAAGACTGAGGCTCAGAAAGGTCAACTAACTCACACATGGTCACTCATTTAGTGAGCAGAAGAGCAGGAACTGAATCCACTCCTGTCTGTCTAATAGGCCCCAATTCTTAAGAACTATTCCCACTACTTCTGTCTTTTTTTGGAACTATATATAATGTAAGTTTAAAAATCAAGTGCTCACGGATATCCCAGTTCCATGAAGTTGTTCCATATTTGCTTCAAAAACATGATAACGCCCATCTGGAGGCAGAGGTCTATCAAACAGCCACTGGGATGACACTGAAACACAGCGACAACAATGGTCTTGCTCTTCTCGGTTGGTTACATGTCCCCACCTTCACACTGTACATCCAATTCTAAAGCTAGCTACACAATCTCAGTGCATCAAGAAAATAAAAACAAGGAAGAAATAACATGCTGAAGACACCTGATAGGGAAGTTTCCAGTAATTAGAGTGGAATATTGATTGGAATTATAACAGCAATAAAAACAAATCTTTTTATTATTTAAATTCATTTAGCCAACATATAATACATCCTCAGTTTCAGATGTAGTGTTCAATAATTCATCAGTTGCCTATAACACCCAGTGCTCATCCTATCACATGCCTTCCTTAATGCCCATCATGCAGTTACCCCATGCCCCCACCCACCTCCCCTCTAGCAACCCTCAATTTGTTTCCTAGAGTTCAGAGTCATGGTTTTCCTCCCTCTTTATTACTTCCCATTCAGTTTTCCCTCCTTTCACCTATGACCCTCTGTGTTGTTTCTCATATTCCACATATAACAAATCTATCTTTTAATGAGCACTTACTATCTGCCAAGCTGTGTATTAGGCATGGTCCCATTTAATGAGTGCTCTGGAATACTGTGTATCTATTAACAACCAGGAGACAGAAAAATGTTTGTTTATAATATGTTCTGCTAAAATAACCTTTTTGACACAGAATAATTTTAAATGTGTAGAAAATCTGCAAGGAAAGTATAGAGAATGCCCATACACACTTCAGCCAATTCCCTCCACTGCCCCTTATACTATCAAGGTGTATTTGTCAAAGCTGAGAAACCAACAGTAACTGATGTTTTCATGTGTTTAGAGTGTGTCTATGTGTTTTGAGAATGGAGGGAGATCACAGACGTAAATTTCACCACATCCCTTCAGAAGTTATATGATAGCCACAGACATCACTAGTGACACAATCTTCATCGGCCCTTGGTACACTGTTTGCCAGGTATTTCTACCGTAAGGTTACTCATTTTTCCCTTTCCCTATTATTTTCTGAAGTGAATTAAATCTAGCCTATTCTAAAGACAGTAGGCACAGGTTAAGGTCTATATCCTGGAGAGGGAATATCTACCTGTACTAGAACGTATTTTTAAGTGATAAAAACATGCCACAGAATGCCTCATCAGTATGATCTCAATTTTGCCTTCGTTGTGCTCCTCTGCTTTTTCAGATGTCCAAAAATTGTTAGAATTAGAAACCCCCACAAAACAAAAATGTGATTACAATGAAAATTGCAAATGACATGTTTTGCTTGAAAACTTCGTACTGTAGAAGATAAAGCGTGGGTCTATTTCTTTACAAATGGGTTCATGTCCTCCTCATAAGAACAATAGTCACTAGAGCTTTGATCCACAGTTTCTATTTCTATCATATTGGTACCAGTGGGACTTCAAAGGGACAGATAATTAGGACATGAAGAGCCTGGTTTTCCGGTTCCAGCCCAGTAATTTAAAACTCCCTAAACTGAGTCAGAGAGAGAGAGAAGCTTGCCAGTGGTAATTTTTATTGTGTAGAGAAGTCACAGTTCTCCCATTGAAGCATGCCTCTTCCTTCTAGGATGAATTTAGGACCCCCTGAGTTCTGCCACATATATATGATAAATGGGTTCTATAGAATGTCTGAGACAGAATAATTACTAAGCTACAGAGGCATACATCACAGCTGCAAGATAAAACTCTTCATTTTTATAGAGAGACTGAAAGATGTAAATTAACATATATAAGGTCATACAATGTTGACTGCTGACATGGAATTGAAAGCCTTGGTCTCCTGCACCCCAATCCTCTGCTCTTGTACATAATGCTAAAGATGAATTCTATTTACCCAATATTGCCTTAAAGGGCTGGTTTAGCAAAGCATATTATTGTGTAGAAAGAGAAAAAAAAAGACCATTATTGAACCATGTGATTGGCTCATTCTCCACAATCGTAGGCCAAAGTGGGGAGGCCGACGACAGACAATTTATAATTCTGTTGAAATTGAGATTTCATGGCTTGGTGATTTATAGGGCAGAGAAAGGGATCCAATAGTTTTTGTGGATCTGCCCTCCTCAAATAATGGTTCTCTCGAGCAAAATCCAGTCCTTCAATACTCTAAAATTCATTTGGTAAGAGAGCCTATACTTAGAATAAGTAAAAGGGCATGGATGGGTGTGTGGGACACCCAGGCTTCCATTCCTATTGCACACTCAAAATCATACGACTATGGACAACCCACAGCTGAGTGCTTTCACATATTTTTCTCATTGGCTCTTCCTGAGAACCTCCTAAGACGGGTGTTGGTATCTCCATTTTGGAGATGATGAAGCCAAGTGGCAGATAGGACCCTCAGATTCTGACATGGATGTTCTTTTCACAGGAACTATGTTTACTCTAAATTCGATTTACATGTGCAAGTCAGCAACCATTCAGCAATCTCTTTTCAAAATCAATTTCCTTTATGTTCTCAGTTTTGCCTCTATGCTATCCCAATGGTGACTGGAAAGCACGATGTTCAAAGTGTAGCCTCTGATGCTGGGTTGGCTGAATCTAACTGATGACTTCATCAATTTATAAGTATGTTTCTACAATTGTAGCAAATTATATAACTTGTCTAAATTTCTGTTTCCTCATCCGCAAGATGAGTATAATAGTAGAATTTTTGCATTAACATATGTAGAGCAGTTAGGAAAAATTGCTGAAAGGTGCTGGCATATAGTAAGCACTCATTAAATATTAATCATTATTAACATGTTTATATAGATTTACATAAAATATTTATGTGAGATATTATACAGTATAGTATGAGGAAAAGTCAGTATAGCTAGTTCATAAATGTTTTAAATTAAATTGAGGTTCATTTTGCTTTCTTTATAATGGCTATCATTATTTGTGCCAGGGATTTTATTTTATTTTTTTAAAGATTTTATTTATTTATTTGACGGAGATAGAGAGAGCTAGAGAGCATGGCGCCGGGGGGTGGGTGGTAGGGGCTGGGGGATGGCAGAGAAAGAAAGAGAAACAGGCTCCCTGCTGAGCAGGCAGCCTGATGTGGGGCTCAATCCCAGGATCCGGAGATCATGACTTGAGCTGAAGGCAGATGCTTAACTGAATGAGCCACCCAGGCGCCCCAGTGCCAGGGATTTTAAGTGCATGATCCCAATTCTATCCACCACTCACCAGTCCTACTGAGATAGTTACTCCTATCACAGTTTACAAAAGACCTAGAGATATAAAGATTTGGGTGGGGCAGAATTAGAATGCAGACTGTCAGACTCCAAGACATAATACTTATTACATAACATGGTTACGTTCTTCTCTTTGGGACTACCAACATCAAGAAAGGAAAGGGACTTTTTCATTTGTATACCCCGTATTACCCAGCAGAGGCCTAGAATGGAGTATGTGTCAAAAATGCTTGTTGCATGATTGAATTCTGAGGCTCAATTCTTATTTTCCATTATGCATATTTATGTCTACAATTCTAGAATTTCTAGGGTCTATCAAAAACCCACATGTTTCATTTCACTGATTTTTTTTTTTTCAAAAAAAAAAAAAAAACTTTGGGGAAAATATGGCCATTGTGTATGTCATATGTATTGTGGAAAATGTCTAGGATGGTTATGAAACATTTTTCCTGACACCAGTATTGGAACAATTTCCCTGGGACTTCCAAAGAAGAAACATGACTTCCAATAATCTTACCCTTAACAGTAAAAATATCCAATTAAACAAAAGTATTGGTGACAGCAGTTTCTAAAATGGCATCAATATGCATATCCCACCTGCTTGTTCACCACACTACCCTTGTTAATTCCAGTCAAACATTCCTGATAAAAGGTAAGCTTTGGGTCCCAAACCAAGTACATGAAAGCCTTTTAGCAGATACAGTCATACTTGTGGGCTATGAGTGAAAACTGCAAGTTTGATTGGGGACTTTCTGAAGGCCTAAAATTATTGAAGGCCCTCATCTGTTCTTGTCCAAGAGGATAATACTTAGGTGGTTGTGGAGACAGAGCATTGATAACTATCAGTTACAATCTATACAGTGCCTTCCAAAGTCCAGGGGTTGTGCTAATTGTGTTACACAAATTATCTCCTATCTATAAACAACTTGCAACCTAAGTATTACTACTGCTAGTTTACAGATGAGGAAACAGATATTCAGAGGGATTAACTTAAGGGCAAAGGATTAATAAGCAGCAAGGTTAGCAGGTGAGCTCAGGTTTCTATGAGGTAAAGCATGTTATTGGGAAGTTTTAGGCTTTCTCCATGTATTTCAATCCACTAGAAGGCTCTAAGGAGACAATATCAACGAGGGCTCTCCTGGGTTTGGGGGAAATTTTTAGATAGAGACTGGAAATACCTCTTTTCTCAGGGAAACTTCTCTTAGCTTCTTTCTAAATTATGACCTCTTACTAATATTACCACATATTAAATTGGATTTTACGTTAGAATAATCAAAAAGATTTTGAACTCAGGAGCAATAAACAATCTGACGAATGAGATTGAACAGAGTCCAGAAGTAGACATAATTTCAAGATGTAGAATGATAAATCAATGATAAATAATCAATCAATGATAAATCTTGAGATCTTATTTTGCCAAATGATAAAAAAATGTATTATTAGTTAAATATGTGACTGCCAGCTGAGGTGGGGGGAGAATCTTGATTACTCATTACACAAAAATGAACTTCCAATGCACCAAAGATGTCAATATTTTTTTTTAAAAATTGGTGAAAAGTACAAGCATGAGGGTATTTTTTTTTAATTTCTGGAATGAAAAACACATTTTTGGCATGACATAAATTCTTGAAGTCATTAATAGTAGTGATATTTTAAATGAAAAATGCTATAGAGTTTTTTAAAAAGTTATCAAAACAAAATTAAGACAAACAAGAAAATGGAAATATTATCTGCAGCAAATTTGTAAGGTTAGAGCCTAATGTTACTAGTTTACAATTTTTAGGACAGAGAAATTTTTATAATTTTTATAATTTTTAGGACCGAGAAAAACAGTTTAATAGAAATGAGCAAGGATAGCACATACACACAGAAACAGAAAATATCCAACAAACACATGAAAAATACTCTTCATCTCACTCAAAATGAAAGGATCTGAAATCAAAAGGAGGTGTCTTTTAGATGTTATATTGGTGAAAATTAAAATGTTTCAGTTGGCAAAAGTCTGAGGAAATAGGCTCATAGACCACAGGTAGGGGCTTGCATTTTGGAGTACCGTATGTCCGTCTCAGTGACAATATACAATCTGTTTAACCCTGTGTTCTAGCAATACTAGACCTTTTGTTTCCATGACATACATATTAAAAAATTAATTAAAAAACCTATAGGATTTGGAAGATATAGATCTGCATATTTATAGATTGGTGTTTCAAATAAGATGTCTTTTGATGAAGTTTCCCAGCTTAAAAGGAAACCTAACATATTTAAAAGTTTAAAAACCCATGGAATAGATTATAATAATTCCTCCAAAGTGAGAAGTCCTTAGATCTAAATTTCTGAGCTTTGTTAATGGAGGAAATGGGTTTGATAGAAAATTAAAGAGCTGAGGTCAGGATTTGGGGGTCTAACCTTTAAGATCACAACTTTTTTTTTTCTGAAAGATGTAGTTCCTTCCTTTCTGAACCCATAAGAACTGTCTACAAAAAAATGTGCCTTCAGCATGCCTGAAATTTCATACACCCACCTTTTCTCTCTTTCCTTCCCCCCACTTCCCACCCATGGTCATTGGCCCATATCCACGCCCAGGCCCACATCCACCCTTACAAGGTTACTTACTTCCTCCAGTCTCCACCGGTTAAAGAGTTTATTGTAATTTCCTGGGTGGCCTACAAATCTGTAAAAAGCCATTTTAATTCATTAGCATTTTTGTGGGGTTGACTGAAGAACATCTACTAATGCATGGGTTGGTAGACATAAATGTTCACTGGTGCATCTTGTCCCCAGACTGTAGACTTTGGCCATGCTGACACATAAAAGTACCTGACTTAAAAAGGAAAAAGTGGTGTATGAATTCGATTCTCACCCCCAATGGGGTGAGAAAGTCCAGACAAAACAACCGAAGGAAATTTTCCACTTTCACCTGTAGATCTTTAATGTTTTGCTGACCTAGCTAATGAATATTAATGTAATGTACTGAGTTGTTTAGTTTAAAATGGTTCTAGCTTTAGTATGTTTCCATCGCATTGGCTGGAGCGTTAAGCATAGTTTATTTAATATGCTTCCATTGTGCAGGAAGTGTAGGAAAAAATGTTGACGTGATAGGTAGGAGAAGTTTCCACACTAAGGAACTGTATCCTAGGGTTGTACAAAAATCATTTTCCTATTTAACAAAATCATTACTCATGATCAGATAATCATAATCCAACCGAAGCAGGGCACACACGCTTTGTTTCTTTATGCCTACTTTAATTGGTGGTGGCACCTTGGAGCCCTGGACTTAGAAGTCTTTTGATGGAAAACACATGGGAAGGCTGAGTAGCAGTTTTCCAAGGCCGGGGACAAGAATTGACCACCTCTATTAACAAATTGGCGATGGAACTCTTGGCCGTCTTTTTCACTCTGCAAAGATGATGTACATAAAGTTGACTTACCTCCCCAGAAAGAAAGCAATATAGAAGATAGAACTATTTAAATTAACAAACTGGAAGAGGAACATCTTCAAAGCAAAGCTGTTTTCCCACTCAGATTCTGTTCGAGGATATTCTAAAAGGAAAACAGGGTGTGTTTACATAAAGGAGGTGAATAACAAGAAATATGGAGATAGAATCAGAAGCCCCACATTTCTGTTCTGATTCAGCCATTTACTAGTTCTATGAGGCACTCAGTGTCTCTGAATTCTAGGGTCTGCATCTGCAAAACGTGAATGAGAGTGTATGCTGTACACACATAGTTGATAAAAGGATCCAATGATACAATCTTCAGACTTCCCCCACAACTACAAAAATAGGATGCTTGTTATTAATAATATCTAAAGATTTTCAGGATTATGTCTGCTGTTGTCATTTGGAAGTAACCATGTACATTGGATCAGTCCTGTACTCAAACTGCCTATGCTTCAATAAGGACCTAAATTGTCCACAGAGTATTTTGAAGAATGGATATTTTGTGCAGACTGAAGTAGAATGGTAAAGAGGAAAGAGGGCTACCTTAGTCATAGAAGCTGGGCTCCTATCTCAACTTTATACCTAATTTTCTGTTAATCTCAAGTAGATCTCTCTACATTTTTTTTGTGAGCAGTTTTAACATTTATGAAACAAGGAGTTTAGACAAGGTGATTTCAAGAACTTGTCTACTCTCACATCTCATGTTTCTATGACCCTTTTTTTTTTTTTTTAAAGATTGTATTTATTTGACAGACAGAGATCACAAGTAGGCAGAGAGGCAAGCAGGGAGAGAGAAAGAAGGAGAAGCAGGCTCCCCGCCAAGCAGAGAGCCGATGCAGGGCTCAATCCCAGGACCCTGGGATCATGACCTGAGCCGAAGGCAGAGGCTTTAACCCACTGAGCCACCCAGGTGTCCCTGTTTCTATGACTCTTAAAACAAAATGATGCAAGGGACTGAATTAAGATGGCAGTGTAGACTGCAGCCTCTGCTCCCGCCCAGTATCCAAATGATGATAGAAGATCTCTATGCCCAGCTAATATACATTTTCGTATAATTAAAGAATTCAAGGAAGATAGAAAACAGATGGGATCTGATTTAAGGAAAATGTTGCCCAAAATGGGTGCATGATCCAGTAACAGAATAGGAACAGGTCCTGGAGGATTCCAAGCCCAACTACAATATGTGACAGAAGTGCTGACTGGTGGGTGGGCACTCATGAAAGCAGCCAGGAGAACCCACATACCCTCAGGGTTTTAGTGGGTTGTATTTTCACTATTGTTTTCATTCTAAACAGTTTGTGAATTTAGTACAAAACTTATCTGGAAATGAGAATATGGATTTTTTAAAAATCCCTGTTGTGTAATTTGTCTTTGGATCTCCATTTCTGATTTTATTGCATCATGATCCACAAATGTTCCTGTGTGATTTCTGCTTTGGAGCAAAAAAGTTGTTTTCATTTATGGTCAGATTACTTGGATATGTTTTGTCTATGTATTAAGTATTTGGAAAGAATATATATTCTTTGGTAAGCATACAGTTTATATATATTTAAAGAGAAGATTGTTAGTTATGACATCCAAATATTTTACATCCTGGCTTATATTTGAGGGTGGATTTGTCAGTCCTTTCTTTTGGTATTTCTATTATGTTTTCCTTTCTATATTTTGGAGGTTTATATAAAGATGTATAGAAATCATGTTACACTGACCTGGCAGACTGTTTATCACTGTTTATCACTGTTTATCACTCTCTTTCCCATTCAAACAGATATAAAATTCTGATTTGCCTAATATTAATATGGTGACATCTGACTTTATCGTTACTATTTTCTTGATATATGTGCTCTTGTTCCTGAATTGACCTCTATTTGACAAAACTGAAACTTGATTGTTTGGCTTAATTTGCTTCTTGGAATCCGTGTTCATTTTTTATAGGTAATTCATATTATAGATTGTTCTTTATTATAAATAATTTGTTATTTGGACCATAAAACCAAACTGAAAAGAACATCACTTTGGGTCAAATATTATATATTTTTTCTCACATAAAAATGTGGTAGAATTAAAACTTTAATTTTTTTTGTGACTTTTCAAAAATAAAATATTTGGCTAAAAATAAGTCAAGAAACATAAAGTTTAAAAGCTCCTTTAAATAAAAAAATGTGTTACCTCTACCAGGAAGTAAAGCCTAATTTCTAATTTGAAGCACAAATTTGCACAGTCTAAAATTACACAGAATACAATGCCATACATATTATATATATATGGATTTATGTATATATGTATGTATGTATTTATATATTTATTGTGTTTGTATGTATTCATACTGAAAATTTTTATGTATGTATTTATAAATATTCAAATAGTAAACATATATTTATGTCTACACATTATTTTAAACAAAATATTAATATTTTTGTTAATTTAAATTAGTATAGACCATTCATTATTAATTGATAGTTATGAATCCATAGGCATTATGTCATGAGTTATAGATGGAAATATCAAATACCAAGTGCAAACTTTGGTTCTCCTGGTACTTAACTCAAATAACTTCTAGGGGCGCCTGGGTGGCTCAGTGGGTTAAAACCTCTGCCTTCAGCTCAGGTCATGATCTCAGGGTCCTGAGATCAAGTCCCACATCGGGCTCTCTGCTCAGCAGGGAGCCTGCTTCCCCCCCCACCCCACCTTGTCTCTCTGCCTTCTTGTGATCTTTGTCTGTCAAATCAATCAATCAATCAATCAATCAATCTTTAAAAAAAAAACAAAAAACCTTCCATTTTCCATTATTATGATCCTCCAAATATTTTCCTCAGATTTGCTTCCATCCTCGGCATAAAATACTTTAAAAGCAAATGAATATAGAGAATCAGAGCTAGAAGAAAGCTTTCAGACAATCTAAAGTGCTTCATTATCCAGCGGAAGAAACTGTAGCTCAGAGGGTTTAAGAACAATGCAACAGATCATTCCCACTTACTGAACACTTGTCATATGTCAGACAGCCAATCCTCAGCAATGGTGAAACAGGAAATGCTATCATTCTCATTTTATCAATAACAAAATGAGACTCAAAAAAGCAAAAACAGAGGGAGAACCAAAGGAAGAGAAACAGTGGAAGGAAACAAAGAATGGAGAGAGAACACTTGCTCACAGTCACAAAATTTCCAGGGAATATGACCACTTATTTCCAGAGCCTGACCTTGGGCCCAGTCTTCCCTCTACAAAATGTTCCTTTTATTATTACTTGTACTTAAAAATGCATTATAGGAGAAGCAATAGTGGAGTGATATAGTTATTCCAACATAATTAAGTTAACTCTGCCACATCTGGGTTTAAATTCTACTTATTCAACTTAATTATCTTGATTTTCTAATTCATACAATAGGGATCCTACTGTCATAAAATTGGGAAGTCAATAAAACAAAATCAATGAGGAGTGTCCAGCATAGTGCCTGGGATCTGGTGAGTTTTCAAACAATAAAAGATCACTGCTCAAATAGCTCTGTAATCAAAATTTTGTTCCTCAAACCAAGAGACCAAAAATCAAGTTTGAGGATGGAGAAAAGACATTTTCAGACACATAAGGTCTCAAGAAATTTACTTTCCAGGCAGCAAAGTAAGGAATTAAGCCAAGACAAAAGAAGACCGATGGATCCAAAGAGTGGTACCCACCTGAGAAATAAAGGTAAAAGGATTTCCTAGAGGACGGGAGAGAGGAAGCATAGACGCCACTGACCATAGTGAGGGTGGGCCCTCGAGAGTGGAGGAAACAGTGGGTTCGGAAAGGGGAACTCTAAGAAGAAAATAAAATGAGTAGCATACCTGATGGTTTTGTATGTATTTAGAGACCATTCAGAGTTGAAGCAGAAAGTTTGAGATAAATTAAGAAAGTATGCAGAAAATTAAGGAAAAAAGTGCTATTATTAGCTTCATGAAAATATAAAGATGGTATAAATAAGGAAACAATCATAGCATATACCACACCTTACATATAAAAATAGTTATATAGAAACAATGACATAAACACTAATTATTAACTTGGCTAAAAATTCAAATCCGTTGAATATAACTACTTTGGAAGGAGGAGAGATAGTGTGTGTATAACAGGTGATAGATGGGGACGTGTACAGGGACAGAACACTGTAGGAGCTGTTAAGACCTAAGTTCTTGTCATTTATAAGGGAAAGGCAATAGCTTCCCAAACCTGAAAAGTCCAAGAACGTCAGAGAAATATGTTATTTAGAAATAGGGCTGGAAATAACAAAAGAAATTCCTAAAATAAAAGAAAAAGTAGTCTCTCGGGAAATGGAAAATTAGAATAGGTAATGTGGCAGAGTACTGGTTTTAATTATCAATTTTTTAAAAAATATTTATTTATTTGAGAGAGAGAGAGAGTGTACAAGTGGGAGGGGCAAAAGGGGAGGGTGAAGATTTCAAGCAGATTCTGAGCTGAACATGGAGCACGAGACGGGCTTGACCCCACAGCCCTGAGGTCATGACCTGAGCTGAAACTAAGAGTGGGACCCATAACTGACTGTGCCACTCAGGCACCCCTTAATTATAAATTTCTCAATACTATTTTGCCTTTTAAATTTCATTTATGTAGTATAATATTTTGATAAAAATAAGAATTTAGGGAAAACCCCAATGAACTGAAAAGTTAGAGAGAGAAAAGCACTCACCTAGGGAGAGTTCAGTTTGCTAATAATTCCAAGGAGATTTTGTAGCTACATACACTGCCTCTCTATAGTTAAGCAATTTGCTCCAACTTCCCATGTATGTCTTTCACTCTGATTGACAATGTACATAACTGAAGTTGACATTAAAAATGCTAGAGTACATAAAAAACTACAGACTGATATACCCATATGTTATTCTTTTACTAAGGAGCTAAGTAAAAAAGAGACTTACCTAAGTTGGTGAGAAGGTAAGCAATTTTTTCATAAGCCTGTAATAAGAGAACAGTAAATGTTATTCTTTCCCTTTAGAAAATGCTGCTATTGACACAATTCAAGGAAACATTTAAAGTGTATTCTATAAAGTGGCTACATTTTTAATTAAGCGGAGCATGTTTTAAAACTTGCTATGTGGTGCTTTACATATATACACAAACTAAATGTACATAATAAAAACATGTTATAAATATGTGTAGATACACAGACACACTTGATTTCTGTAAGAGTAAGTCTTTTGCGGTAGCTGTCTTTATTTCCATTCTATAGGTCAAGGAAATGGGACTTTAAAAAACTTAAAACTTTTTGCAAAACAAGTCAGTCAACTAATCAATGGCTGACATGGTGTTTGATCACTAAATTATATGTACTTTTTACTATGCTGAAAGGCTGAATAAAAGTCTGAATTCTTTATTATTGAAAAAAAAATTTCCAAACTAAGAGGAACATAGTGTGATAGCTTGCATTCCAAGAGAACAACAGTGGTTTGGTGGTTATTTAAAACAAGACTGGTTAAGTCAAATCTGTCGAATCCATAAGTCAGTCACAGGCAAGATAGTTTTATGGTGATTTAATTTTTAAAGATTTTATTTATTTACTTGACAGAGAGAAATACAGAGAGAGAGGGAACACAAGCAGGGGGCGAAGCAGGCTTCCCACTGAGCAGGGAGCCTGATGAGGGGCTCGATCCCAGGACCCTGGGATCATAACCTGAGCAGAAGGTAGATGCTTAATGACTGAGCCACCCAGGTGCCCCTACGGTGATATTTTTCACATTCTGCCACAATTTCCTCTCCCCTACTACTCAATCCACCACTCATACAGACTTAATATTTCACAAAATTCAAGGTATACCTAAATGCGAAAACAAATTTATTATAGACAGAAGGATAGTATGTGTTTGTGGGTATATGTGTGTGCATGTAAATATAACTAACCCCCACAATTCAATAAATTATTTTTTATATTATAAATTCCAGTAACTCTGCCTGTTGGCATGCAAAATTCAAAGGTAGGTGTCTGGACACTCTAAAAGTTGTTCATCTTCTTTCAATAGAACTATCATGATTATTCATCTTAGCCATGATTTAACCCTACCTCTTCCTCTAAAGAGTTACCTTGAGACAGAAAGGTTATGCTGAGGATAAATATTTCATTCTACCTCTTATGCAGTTCTGTTGTTGCTATTGTTTTTATTTTTAACTATATGCAGAAACTGTCCTTTTCAAATTTCAGAACAAGATTACTTTGAATTCATGAGCACCAAAATTGTCTTGACTGTAACATGTTCTTTTCCATGCCCTATTTATTAAGTAAGATGATTACAGAAGGGTGTCCAAGGAGTATGATAGGGTAGATTTAAAAAATCAACAAATAGTACTTGAATAATACTATAATTCCAGCACCCAACTGAGTGCCCTCATGGAGAATGAAAAAAAAGTTTTACTTAAATAACTGCCATTTCAAGTATTTGGTCGGTAATAAGCGGTGCTTTATATATACTATTATTTAATTTAGTCCTTACAACAATTTTCACATAGGTATAATGATCCCCATTTTACAGAACAGGAAATCCTTGCTTAGAACATCAGAACTTGCCTAAATTAATGCTACTAAATGTGTAGCAAAGTCGGGATTTGCTATGTGGGTCTCTTGTACCATTTATGCTATGCTTTGTCACAGAAACATTTAAGATTTCTGTCTTAATTCTTAGCACATAGAACCTGTCTGCAACTCTGGGATGGAAATATCTACAGCTGATGCACCAATGGATTACAGTATCCTTTGGAAGAATGTTCTAAATCACACACACACAAAAATGCTGTATCACCCCTGGAAATACCGCTTTTGGGAAACATTCTGGGGGCCTTGAGAATCTGCATCATCTAAGGCCCAGAAGTTAGCTAACTGGCACCACCATGATGAGCTACAAAGTCAACCCATGCAGACTGACTTGTTAACTCCGAAACCACAGAACGCAGCAAGAAACCATAATTTAGATATATCCACTGTATGGTGTATGACAGAAATCATGGGTTGTGTGTGTGTAAAAGGGAGGAAATGGATATGCATTGTGGGAGGAGGAGATGTAAGGAGGGATTCAGAGACAGTTGTGGTCACTACACTATGTATGTACATTGTATATATAGATCTCATGTTGCGGAACCTATACTTTTAAACATCATTCACTAGTGCATTCAGTAAGCTGAAATTCTTAGTCATATATATTAATTATATAAAAATATTTATTTGGACTTTCAAATGGGCCACATAGAGAGAGAACAGATAGTTTCTCCTTTAACTGAACTTAAATCCCAGGGCTTGGAGACAAATGGAGAGAAAACAATTGGAGACAAACAATTATGTAACTAGTCAGGAAAGGGAAAATACAGCAGGCTGTGTGCCTAGAGAAGAGTGGTGGGCACAAGTATTCATTTTATAGTGTGGTCAGAAAAGCCTCTCTGAGAGGGTAGCATTTGAGCATAGAGCTCATGCATGAAGTGAGGGAGAGAGCCAGGAAGAGATCTGAGCCAAGCACCTTGGAAATGCTTGACAGTAAGTCAAATGCCATGAAACTGGTTGGGCTTGGTATGTTTCATAAAGGGCAAGGCAGTTGGAGGTTCAGGAGTGGAGGCAGTAAAAGAGTAAGATAGTTACGAGATGAGTGAGAGAAATCTCAGAGGGGAGCAGGTTTTCAGAGCCTGGTAGTCCATGGTAAGGTCATTAGAATTCATTCTGAGCTAAGAAGTCATCATCTTCCCAGTATTGCTTGGTTTTGGGGTGCTACACAGAAATCCACTGGGGAAAAATGAGAATGACAAAGGCAGTGAAAGGGCAAGGTTGTTGTGAAGGGGCACGCTCGATTTAGTGCTCATCATCTCTGATGAGCCTTACAGTCCAACTTGTGCTGTAAAAATGAGCTCAAAACAGAATTTTGCAGAATCAAAGATAGACTGTTCTTTCCCGGTAATCTACTTTTCTGAATTTCTAGAAACCATGGATATAAACATGAACAAACCAAACAAATACTTTTCTAGAAAGCGAGTCCTCTTATTAAATGAGTCATTTGGCATTACCTCTTTTCCATGTTAAGATGTGTTGTCAAACCCTTTGATCACCCTATTCCACAATGACCTATTTTCATTGGAATTGGTAACCCGGTATTAAGGAAGTTAGGTACATTTGAGGTCTTCAGTGGTTAGGCCCATGAAAGAAACACAGGAATATATGTTCTCGAATCTAGAGACAGAAATAAATCACTAAAGTGAAAGAGTTCAGAACCAACATGGAATACTTTAGGTAAATGTAGTTATAGCTGTCCTTTCTTTTATTCTTCTCCTTCTTTTTTTGTTTTTTTTTGTCTTGTTTTGTTTTAGGTTATAGTGTACAGATGGTACATGGATTTTAAAATGAGAAGAAGAATACCAAAAAGAGTTCATTCCTTATTTAAAAATTCATTTTAGTTGTAGGGAAGAGGAAGAGGGAGAGAATTTTCAAGCAAACTCCCAGCTGAGCGTAGAGTCCAGTGCCAGCTCAAGCTCATGGCCCGTGAGATCAAGATCTGAGCTGAAACCAAGAGTCAGACGCTTAATGGACTGAGCCTACCAGGTGTCCCACGAGTTCATTCTTTTGTTGACAACATTGAAGTGGTTTAATTGGCTTAATTCCAGATATTTCAACCTACAAGAGTCCTTCTGTGATGTTTCAGTTTTTTCTTTAAAATTACACAGTAATCATGAAACCAGACAGCTATCAAGCTGCTGTAACCTATTCGTTAATTAATTAACATTTGATTGTCAAGCAACAAGAATATACATTTTGGAATAATCATATATTTTTAAATTTTATTAAAATCTTGGAGAGGCACCTAAATGGCTGAGTGGGTTAAGCCTCTGCCTTCACCTCAGGTCATGATCTCAGGGTCCTGGAATTAAGCCCTGCATCGGGCTCTCTGCTCAGCAGGGAGCCTGCTACCCCCCAAGACCCCGCCTGCTGCTCTGCCTACTTGTGATCTCTCTCTCTCTCTCTGTGTGTGATAAACTAAAAAAATTAAAAAAAAAATCTTCTTGGAAATATCTGACATTAACCAAGCTGTTTATGGCACCTTTAAGTAGTATAATAGCATTTTCATGGGCAGCAACATTAAGGAAAAAAGGATGGGATTAGGGAAGAGTAATTCCTGGTTTCAAATTCTGGCTTTTCAAATTCTGTAAATTTTTAGTTATATGTCTGATAAGAGGTGTTAAAAAATAAATTGAGGTTTTAATCTTGTTAAATTACTTGCAATTTATCTTTGAAAATGTAGTTTCTGATCTTGGCTGTGTATCAAAATTACCTCACATCTCTTAAATCAGTGATTTCTTAGTGCTATGTTAGGGGCTGACAGGATCAGAATCACTGGGAGAATATTTTTGAATGTTTTGTTTTATATACAGATTTCCTAGCTCCACAAAGGAAATTCTGAATGGGACTCAGGGCTGTCTAGTTTTTCAAGTATTCCAGGTGATTTGAAGCGTAGCAAGAACAGGAAACAATCTAAGTTACTTTCACGATCTGTAAGATGGACTTATAATCCAATTTTCATTATTTTTACCCTTATTTTTATCCCACATTGAACATTTATTGAGGGATGTCATGATCCATTTGTTTTGAAAGCTTAGAGGATGCATGTTCTTTAATTATTAGTTTGGAAATCACAAGTGCTGCAAATGTGAAAGACACTAAAAATAGAATTCCAGCTACAAAAATAATTTTGAACAATTATTCAAGAGGCTAAGCTCTTTCCAATGTGAATAATGTTCAAGAAGCTAGGAAATTTGGGGAATGAAATATTTAAAATTTATTTGAAGAATATATTCTAAATGTCTTTTAGGCCTAGGCAAAGACCTGGCTACATAAAAGTGAGGAGGCCCCACTGTCAGGGGCTTACACCCTAAGAGCGGGAGACAAGGCATGCCTAATACAGTAAACAGAAGAGCATTCACAAGAAGGAGTG